CTGCACTTTATTTGTACCATTTTGTTTTATTAGTTTATTTATTAGAATTTGAAAGATAATAACAACATTGATTGATTAGTGAGATCTGATTTTAGTCCTTGAAACCCAAAAAAGTAGTGCAAGTCCTTGAAAGTCCTGGAATTTTATTTTGCAGTATCTGTACGAACCTGTTTTTATACAGTCTATGGTACGAACCCTGTTTAAGTTACCAGTTCTTGGACCATTTTAATGTTTTTGTTGTTGTTATTTGAACTGAACTGTAGTTTTCTTTAGTAAACTGCCTTTGTATATTTCCTATTTTATATTAATTTCCTAGTATTTAATTTACCATTATTTCTTGTGAACAAAACAATTTCAGAAATTTCATGTTTTAGATTGTAGGTCATCTTGGACATGTCAAGCTAACCAGCTAAACTTGATATCAAAAGCATCCTAAATGTTACATGTGTTTGCACCATATTGTAGTGAGTAAACTTTCTTGGTATTGCTGTTTCAAATATCCCACCATAATCTGTAGTCTGAGCCTGTCAAGGGCTAATGGTAATAGCAGATACGTTACTAGTTAGTTTATTTTTTTGTTTGCCAAATAACCCTGTCTATGTGTCCGCCCCCGCAACCCCCAACCCCCAGAAAAAAGTTCAGGCTCAGGATTTTTTTTTTTGCTTTAAGCCCTGTGAATCAGTTCTTATTTCTAAAAATGTTTTTTTTTATGTTTTAATTTGCTTTACTAAGTGATCTGATGCACCATTTTCACCTGCTGGAGCAGAAAACGGGTGAAAAAAACCCACAGGTGCACACAGGAGGAGGAACCGAGACATTTTTAGAGAGCAGAAGATCACAGAAACCAGTGCAACTGCATAACAAAATGCTAAAAATCACCCAGAACCCAAACATGCACAAAAACCACTTTCATTTCCTCTGAAAATGTCAAATCTAGTTCAGCTGCTGTTAGATGAGCTCTATCTGTCTCCCGCAGTTCATCCGAACCCTATAAAAGCCCTCGTCCTGTGGGTGTGTGAGTTTTATTATACCCCTCTGCCACACGCTCGCTGTCTGTTGCGCGAGTGTTTAACTGCATGAAAGAGCTGTTAAATTCCTGCCGTAATGGCCTCATGTGATGGATGAGAATAGAGTATGTGAAGACCTTACAGCGCCCGAGCGCTTGTTCCTTTATAATGACAAATCCTCCGGCTGGAAGAGCTCAATTAACCTCTCATTATATGCTGACGGAGTCGGGCGCCTGGCGAGGCCGCTCATGTAGGACGTGAACTCACAGGAAGTTCCTCTCAAAGCCACGGGCGAGAATAAACAGTGGCGTCTGAGATCTGAGCTGGAAGAGTTCGGTCAGAAACGGTGATTTAATTGCCGTCACGTCGATCCAAATCAGCGTGACTTTACTTCCTTCATGTAGCAAAAAAAATTTGTTTTTTTATACCAGGAAAATACTCAGACGTGGATTGAGAATGTGTTTTAAATTCTAGTTCAGGTCCTGAGTTTGAATTGAGGTTGCAAACAGGATACAGAATTTACATGTGAATTTAAATGCAAAGAAGGATAATTTAAATGAACTGAAATAACTGTAATTTGTAACAAAATTGCCAAGATAAACTTTGAATGTTGACTTCACAAAGACTTGTTTGATAGATAGATAGATAGATAGATAGATAGATAGGATAGATAGATAGATAGATAGATAGATAGATAGATAGATAGATAGATAGATAGATAGATAGATATTTTGAATTGGATTTTATTTTTATATTTTCAGTTTTCATTGTAACTGTAAAAAATTTTTATGATTTGCTTACACATAATTCATATTTGTACTATTTCTATGTTTATATTTCAGTATTTATTTTTTTCATTTTATACTATTATAGTTTTTAATCAATATTTCAAAATAGGAATATTTCATTTTTATATTTTTTTTATTTCTAATGTTACATTTTTATATCAGTGTTTTTAGCATTATTTATATACTATTATAGTATTTATTAATATTTTGATAGATAGATAGAATAGAATGATAAATCCATAGATAGATAATAAGTACGGTTCAAACATTTGGGGTCAGTAAGATGTTTTTAAATACAGTAAAATCATAAATATTGTAAAATATTATTCCAATTTAAAATAGCTGTGTGACTATCTATGTGCATATCTGTTAAAGTGTAATTTATTCCTGTGATCAAAACTTAATTTTCAGCACCATTACTCCAGTCTTCAGTGTCACATGATCCTTCAGAAATCATTCTAATATGCTGCTCAAGAAACTTTTCTGATTATTATCAATGTTGAAAACGGGTGATATTTTTTTGTGGAAACTCTGATGCATTTTAATTTTCAGGATGCTTTGATGAATAGAACGTTCAAAAGAACAGCATTTATTTGAAACAGAAATCTTTTGTAACATTATAAATGTCTTCACTGTACTTTTTGATTAATTTAATGTGTCCTTGATGTATAGAAGTATTAATTTCTTTAAAAAGTGCTGGAGTACTGTCATTATGCTGCCATTTATAAAGCTTGATAAAGTCAGTCCACGTTCATTATATGAGAAAGAGCAGCATGAACATTCTGCTAAACATCTCCATTTGTGTTCCGCAGAAGAATGGAAGTCTATATAAGACATGAATGAGTAAACGATGGCAGAATATTGATTTCAGGCTGATCTTGTTTAATAATGACTCCAGCAGCTCTGCATGCGTTCACTGCTCTTCACCCTGAGCTCAGCTGTGCTGGGAATGATGAGCAGCTCGTAGCACTTCATCAGCGTTTTTCTGTCATTAGAGAAGTGCTTCATGACAGAAGGAGCCGCAGGAGCTCTTCATTCAGAAATCCCGCAGATGGAGTGGCGGGAGCCTGAAGATGCGCTGCTTCTTCAACATATGTGAAGACTGAGTAAGAAACTGAGACGTGTGAACCAGATTTAGGTAGTTTTTGTTTTTGAAGTTGTAAATTATTAACTCTTTCCCCGCCAAACACGGAATTTTTCCGGGTTTCCACGTTCTCACTGTTATACGCTAGGGGGCACTATTACGCATCTCCTTAATGAGTCTAGAACATGCCGATCAAAAACACAGGCGAGGAAGACGCAGCAGCGATCGATCTCATAAGTATGCATATGCATATGAAAAATAATGCGATCATCAACAATAAACAGCATATAAATGAAAACTGCCTATGTTACCGAGTGAAATGTGGATCCAGGAAGTAGTAAAGGACTGTGCAAGCTATAGGAGTGCTGATGGAAGCCATCTACTGCATCTTTGTTTTGATCATCTTACTGAATATGATCCAGATGTTGTGTTTGATAAAAAATGCGACTTTCTCAGGTTTTTGCTCAGAATGTTGCTGTTGATAAAAAAAAAAAAAGAATGCTTGAAGCTAGAATAAAATGGAACAAACAAAATATTCTGAGGGCCATGAAATTTTAGTGAAAGTCATCAAAAATGCTGTTGGTGGCTGGCAAACTTTTTCAAAATAGCTGGCGGGGAAAGAGTTAAGGTTATTGGAGTGTGTTTTAAAAGAAAACTATTTCAGCTTTTCAACTTCAAAATTACTTGACGTTTCATTGTAATAAAAAACATGTCCTGCTCAAAATAAATAAATTAAATTCAAAATTTAAA